CTGTTTGAGATTTTTTGGTGATTGCTACAATTATAATGATTTCTTACAAGAGGTATATCATACTGAGAATTATTTTAGCAGTAATTATGCTAATGTAGTAATGACAGGAATGCATAAGCTATGCCTCATAGACTTTCTTGAAAAATATCAATGACAATGTTAACAGGAACAAAACAATGACATGCTCTCATCTATATTATAGTTATTTAGGTACAAACAATGTACGTTTGTTGCATAAGTCTCTCATTGTTTGTCCTTTGGATTTACATAACATACATTGAATCAGGCAAACATAGTTTTATCCAGATTGTAATGAATAAATCTAGTTAATATTTCGCCAGGTAATACAAAGTATACATTGCTAATGGAAGTTCATTTAATTATCAAAAAACTAATGATTTATAACCTTTTTCAGGGCGCAAACCCACCATTCAGAGACTTAAGTCTACTGCCATTCCCAGCCTATTTTCCTGGACCAAGCAAGAGACTTAATCGTCCGCAAATAGAAAAATCAGGACAGTTTCCTGTGAAAACAAAAGAACTAAACTTGATGAATATTGTAGTAGAAATCTAGAGGAAAGTTTTGATTGTAAAGTTGGTTTTCCTGAAGAAGTCATTCATACTGCAGAAAGGATTTTAATATGACTGTCCACCACCAACTGCCGAGCTAATGTTGAGCTTCACAGATGGAATTATGCAAACACCATCAATGCCTATGTTTTCAGCAGAGAATTTTGAAATGAAGACACATGACACAGCCATGCATTTTTATACCGGTTTAGAGTTGTATACTAAATTTTTATTTGTTTTGACCACACTTGGTCCAGCAGCACATTGTTTGAGATACATATATTTTCAAATTGATAGGGTGTCAGTTGAAAATCAGTTTTTTTATGACTTTGATGAAATTGAGGCATTATACAACCAACTTTGAACTTTCTAGATTCTAGATTGAATCTAGTGTTAAGAATATTGTGTATACATGGATTGTTTTTATGTCTAAACAATGGTGTGAGGCTTACACTTGGCCATCTAGTGGTTTAGTCAGGTATTTTTCACCATCCAACTTCAAATTAAAGTTTATAACGACTTGGATTATTATTGACAGCACAGAATATCCCGTGATAAAACCTAAAGCTCCTAGAGCTCAGGCAACCTTTTCATCATATAAAAACAGAAACACTGAAAATACTTGTATGTTCGACACCTGGTGGTTTAGTCAACTATGTCTCTAATGCATATGTTGGTTCTACCAGTGACTATGAAAAAGTTGAAAGATGTAGAATAGTTCAATTATGTGATCCAGGTGACAGTGTGATGGCAGACAAAGGTTTAAATGTGCAAGATTTGTTTGCTAACTTTTTTCAAAAAAAGAAACAGAATTAGTTCCAAAACTCTTATACGGGATAGAAAAGTCTCCAATTAACATGTGCACATAGAGCGAATTATTGGACTTGGCAAAACATACAAAATTCTAATAAATCCTATGAATGGAACTGAAACAAAACTTTCATCTGAAATAACATTTAGTTGTACTATGTTGTGTAATTTTAGAACTTGTATTGTGCCAAAGGATGCATAAATAAAAGTGACGCAATGAATTTTGTTCTGATATATATATATTTATAATTACATGCACATGTAGATTGTAATGCATATAAAAATAAGGAGATGTGGTATGATATTCAGTGAGTTTATCGAACTAAAGTGCATAAGAAATGGGTTTAAGCAGTTACAGGTGTTACTGTCACCGTACAATCTCCAACAATGAGAAAAACTTGTACCGTGTAAAACATATCAGAGATCTTACCACTAAGTTTTGTTGTCTCACCTTGACTTTGGTGAATTGTTTATATCTGTTGATGTAAATATAAAAAAAGAAGATGTGGTATGATTGCCAATGAGACAACTCTCCACAAGAGACCAAATGACACAGAAATTAACAGCTATAGGTCACAGTACGGCCTTCAACAATGAACAAAGCCCATACCGCACAGTCAGAGCTCTATAAAAGGCCCCAAATGACAATGTAAAACAATTTAAACAAGAAAACTAACGGCCTAATTTCTGTACAAAAAATGAACGAATATAACAAATATGCAACACATAAACAAACAACAACCACTGAATTACAGGCTCCTGACGTGGGACAGGCACATACATGTACATACAGAATGTGTCGGGGTTAAACATGTTAGCGGGATACCAACCCTCCCCCTAACCTGGGACAGTGGTGTAACAGTACAATATAAGAACGAACTATAAAAATCAGTTGAAAGAGGCTTAACTCATCAGATGGATAAATACAAGTGGACGTGGTCGGGTAGTTGTACATCCAAACAACAAAAAGACACTAAGTACAGATCTGAGAGTACTCAAAGTTACTGACAGCTAGTTCAAAGCCACTAACAACTGATAAAAAAATCTTGCATCTAAGACTAAATTATCAATCTGTAAGCTCCCTTTAGAATTTTATAAATTTTAGATTTTACATTTCTGAGTTATGGGGTTTTATTCATTAAAAAGGGGGGGATTTTCCAGTTTTTGTCGAGCCTGCGACTTTTGTCGCAGAAAGCTCGACATAGGGATAGGGATGTGGCGGCGGCGTTAGCTAACTTCTTAAAAGCTTTATATTTTAGAAGGTGGAAGACCTGGATGCTTCATACTTTGTATATGGATGCCTCATGTTACGAAGTTTCCGTCAGCCACATGTCCAATGTCCTTGACCTCATTTTCATGGTTCAGTGACTACTTGAAAAAAAAGTTAACATTTTTTGTAATGTTAAATTCTCTCTTATTATAAGTAGTAGGATAACTATATTTGGTATGTGCGTACCTTGCAAGGTCCTCATGCCCGTCAGACAGTTTTCACTTGACCTCGACCTCATTTCATGGATTAAGGTTAAGTTTTGGTGGTCAAGTCCATATCTCAGATACTATAAGCAATAGGTCAAGTATATTCGGTGTATGGAAGGACTGTAAGGCGTACATGTCCAACTGGCAGGTGTCATCTGACCTTGACCTCATTTTCATGGTTCAGTGGTTATAGTTAAGTTTTTGTGTTTTGGTCTGTTTTTCTTATACTGTATGCAATAGGTCTACTATATTTGGTGTATGGAATGATTGTAAGGTGTACATGTCTAGCTGGCAGGTCTCATTTGACCTTGACCTCATTTTCATGGTTCAGTGGTCAAAGTTAAGATTTTGAGTTTTGGTCTTTTTTTCTAATACTATATGCAATAGGTCAACTATATTTGGTGTATGGAAATATTTTATGATCTATATGTCAGTTGCACAGGTTTTATTTGACCATGACCTCATTTTCACAGTTCATTGCTCAGTGTTAAGTTTTTGTGTTTTGGTCTGTTTTTCTTAAACTATAAGCAATAGGTCAACTATATTTGTTGTATGGAAGAATTGTTAGCTGTACATGCCTGCCTGGCAAGGTTCATCTGACCTTGACCTCATTTTCATGGTTCATTGGTCAATGTTTAGTTTTCTTGGTTAATGTTAAGTTTATGTGACAGTTGTAATAAAGCTTTATATTAAGGACTATCAACATAATATCAGTGATTACTAAAGAAGGCGAGACATTTCAGCATGTTCACTCTTGTTGGACAACAACTCAAAAATGCTTTAAGCAGTTCGCATGAAACTTTGGTGAATTATTTATAGCTATTGATGTAATCTCCCTATAGATTTTCATAAATTTCAAATATGACATTGAGAAGAAATTGAACTTTATTTGTTTATAGTCTGGCAACAGATTTATTAAGTATTGCGCAACAGCACAGTGTATTGCACAACAGCAAGAAATCTTTAATTGAATATAAATTCAATTCATATAACCGATTTCAAGTTCTTTGACTACATTTATTCAGAAACTATAACATGTCAAATATTTAATTACAATCCAAATTCAAACCTGTATCAAGCTTGAATATTGTGTCCATTTTTGCCCCTAGTGTTCAGGGTGGGACCTCTGCGGGTGTATCCAGCTGCGCTCAGCGAATCAGTTTATTTCTTAATTAAGAACTCCTTTTTTCATTCATAAATTACTTTAAACTTGGAAATATAATTTTGCTTGGAGTTATAGTTTCTTAAAAAAGTATTGTCATTGAAAGAGTTGACATGTTGCAATGTACATTTATTCTACATAGTTCTATGGTACCAAATCAAAAGTTTATATAAAAGAAAGAAGTCAAAGGTTTCCCATCATAGTTAAGTTACATACATTTTTTTTGTACCTGAGGTCGTTGAATATAGATCATTATATAAATAAGGAGATGTGTTATGATTGCCAATGAAACAACTATAATCCATACTTAACAGTAACAAACCACATTTGCAGAGTTGAATAAAATACAGTTGATAACATTTACTTATTACTAAAAAGAAAATGCCTAACTATTTTAAACAGTATTTGAATATCAATTATATGGTCATTTTTATAAACTTCCTGTTACAAAACTTTGAATTTTTCGAAAAACTAAGGATTTTCTTATCCAAGGAATAGATAACCTTAGCCGTATTTGGCACAACTTTTTGGAATTTTGGGTCCTCAATGCTCTTCAACTTTGTACTTGTTTGGCTTTATAACTATTTTGATCTGAGCGTCACTGATGAGTCTTATGTAGACGAAACGTGCGTCTGGCGTATTAAATTATAATCCTGGTACCTTTGATAACTAATTTGACTATAAACATAGATAAAAAAGGTACAAACTGGACATAATGCACTAGTTCATAAACAAGTGAGAACAATCACCTTCATATAGTGCTCAGAATATGACATTCATATAACTTGTTCAATATCATTAGAGAACTCTAAATCTTAAATACTGAAAGCCACCTCTGATAAGTACACAGTACTATGCAAGATAATGATATAACTGGACTAAAAATACACACAACCTGTAATTAACTGCCTTTACAGCGCTTTCGCGCTTTGATTTTATATGTTAAGATACAGCAATAATTTAAAACTACTGAAACACTGTAAACTGTTCAACAATTATTTATTTAAATAATAAATTTCTATTTAATGTGTCTGTCTGTATGTAAGCTTCAGACTTAAATTAATCGTCAATACTTTATTAATTATACACCCCTTTGTCTTAGTATTTGTCACGGTTAACAACTTTTATTTAATATTATATAGAGAATACTTGTATCACAATGACACTGTTGTACTTTAAAATGAGACTACACAGGACTAACTTCTTACAGTACTGGTAATCAGTGAGACTGTATACCCAGTAGATCAATGTCAGATTAATAAAGAGATAAATAAACATGACCCTTTAAATTTTGTACGTCTAACACTTCAAAAATAGTTCTCATTCTTTCAGTTATCGGTGTACTTTGACAGTCTAAAAGAGTCCCGTAACGAATCTCTTTTTCGTAAATGTTTTGCTGCTCTCGTAGCCACATAGTCTTTCCTCGCTGGACTAAGTCTTAATTCCAGAATGTTGTTTATTTTTGACACAATTTCATTACACACTTCTGAATCAGCCTCGAAATCACAGTGTTTATAATCATGGCTTGTAAGGTAAGTTATCCTCAACACAGATTTACCTGAAAGTATATAATGTATATTGTTAGCAAAAAGATTTCAGGTTTAACTACAAAGCTATCGATATTTATACTTTTTCATAAAAAGGAGTTTATCAATCTAGTTTTCAACATTTTTTAAAATCTGCACACAATAGTTTAAATGTATAGTTTAGTCAAAACTTTGACTGTGTTATTACTAAGAAATTGTTATATAAAATTGAAATAAATGGAGAATGTTTCCATCGGACACAGATGATGCCCCTGCTTGCAAATAACGTTATAAAGGGGCATGCATAACTCGAGAACGGTAAAAGTGACGCAACCCAAATTCGAACTTGATCCGTGTTTTTTGGTAATAAGCATTGTGTACATGTTTCATAACAGTTGGTCGAGGCAAACGCAAGTTAGAGAAGGGAAACCAATTTTTGGACGTACGTACGGACAACGGTATACCATAATATGTCCTGTAAACAGACGTATAAAAAGTAATGTAGACGTCAAAGAACAGTTTAAAATTCTTATGAAAAGTTAGATCATTGTACAAAAGGGACTTACTTAAAATCACTTTTCAAAGACATCATAATGCATATGAAAGAAAATGTATAGAAAATATTGTCAATTAAATCAATGCTTATTAAAATTATCACTATTTTCCTTTTTTAATGACCTTTTGATAAAGATAATATGAAAACATTTTGATGCCCCCGCCATCATCAGAGAGGCATAAAGTGTTACCCTTGTCCATCCGTATGTCTGTCTGTCTGTCTGTCGTCAACATGTCGGACAATAACTCAAAAACGCTTGAACCAATTTTCATGAAACATTGGTGAATTGTTTATATCAATTGATGTAAGCTCCCTTTCAATTTTTATAAATTTTAGATTTTATTTTTCCAAGTTATTGGATATTTATAAAAAAAAGAGGGGATTTTCCAGTTTTTGGACAATAACTCAAAAATGCTTTAACCAATTTTCATTAAACTTTCATGAATTGTTTATATCTATTGACATAAGCTCCCTTTCAATTTTTATAAATTTTAGATTTTACGTTTCTGAGTTATTGGATTTTATTTATAAAAAAAAGGGTGATTTTCCATTTTTGGACAATAACTCAAACATGCTTTAAGCAGTTTTCATGAAACCTTTGTGACTGGTTTATATCTATTGAAATAAAAGAACAGAGTTCCAATGTACCCCGCATTGCACATATTTTATCTGTCCAAGGATCAAGGGCATTATAACTATAAAAAAAAAAAAACTTTTTTTGTTCTTTAAAACTTTTTATAAATATCTTTGAGAAATCAAGGCTTGAGAGCAAATGCAATGCAATTCATATTATATTTAATATTTCCAAGGGGCATAACTCTTTTAAAAATAATTGATCGACACTGATTTCGAACTTGTCCGAGACATTGCTGATATAAACCTATAATATAAATTTCATAAAAATCTGGAAAGAATTGTACAAAAGAGTGTGCTAACGATGCAATTTTCCATATAATTACTGTTTCAAAGGGGCATAACTCTTTTAAAAATAATCGATTTGCACTGATTTTCGAACTTGTCCAAGACATTGTTGATATAAACCTATAATATAAGTTTCATAAAAATCTGGGAAGAATTGAACATGTGAAAGTGCTCACAAGACCGGACGGACAGATGCACAGATGCCTGGTATTTCTATGTCCCCCACAACAAGTCGCGCAGGGGACAACAAGCTCCCTTTAGTTTTTTTATAAATTTCTGATATGACATTGAGTTATGGAACTTTATTCGTCAAAAAAGCGACGGGCATATCATTCGCGCATGGGCAGCTCTATATTAGGGATTATTTTGCCTATTTTTTAATGTGTTTGATTTAGATTTCATGGGTTAAGATTACCTGTTGATTTCTCTTCCAAGATTTCACAAGATGCAATATTATCAGCATCATAAGTCATGGCCCTTTGTTTGAAAAATTTGGTCCCTTTTGAACCAACTGGGTCTACTTCTACCTTCTCTCCACTAACACCTGAAAAAGTCACGATATATCTTGTTTCTACTTGACATAAATGAATATGAATATTGTAAAAATAATATAAATTATAGTAGTTTGATATGATTATCTATTTGAAAAAGGCTAAGGATATCACTGATCTACTCTTAATTCAATGATGGTCTACAAAAATCCCAAACCACTGAACAAATTGATAAGCAACTGATACATCATCTATTGGAAAAAACTTGTCTTCAGTGGCGGATCCAGAAATTTTCATAAGGGGGGCCCACTGACTGCCTAGGAGGGGGCCTGCTCCTGTCATGCTTCAGTGATTCCCTAAATAATCAACCAAATGTTTCCCACAAAAGGGGGGCCGGGCACCCTGGGTCCCCCTAAATCTGCCTCTGATCTTCCTGACTTGGTACACAACTTTTATAATTAGGAAACTGGGTCAAAGCAGGTTTTTGTGTCTCTTTAGGTTCCTTCAGTTGACAACGCCCGATAGTTTTCTGGACAAGTATGGTTATACACATATATATCATTTAGTTACTTGAATTTCTAAGTATATAATTTTACTTAAAAAATTGGTCAAATGAAAGAACCTTAGTGAGCGCACTCACATACCCCACGTCCCCACATTGTCATTGGAGAAATAAAATAAGTGTAAGAAAAAAAAATTGAATCATAATTTCCTGTCAATATGCACATCTACATAGTATATCTACACAGTTTCATGAAATTCTGTTGTGTGGTTTGAGAGGAGTTGCGATGACAAAAGGTTTCAGTAGTATATTGGGCAAATAAGTTCAAAGGGGTGTAACTCCTGGAAAAAAAATTGAATCGTAATTTCCTGTCGATATGCACATCTACGTAGTATGTCCTTATTATCTGAAAAGGTTTCATGAAATTCTGTTGTGTGGTTTGAGAGGAGTTGCGATGACAAAAGGTTGCAGTAGTGTATTAAGCAAATAAGTTCAAAGGGGCGTAACTCCTGGAAAAAAAATTGAATCGTAATTTCCTGTCGATATGCACATCTACGTAGTATGTCCTTATTATCTGAAAAGGTTTCATGAAATTCTGTTGTGTGGTTTGAGAGGAGTTGCGATGACAAAAGGTTGCAGTAGTGTATTAAGCAAATAAGTTCAAAGGGGCGTAACTCCTGGAAAAAAAATTGAATCGTAATTTCCTGTCGATATGCACATCTAAGTAGTATGTCCTTATTATCTGAAAAGGTTTCATGAAATTCTGTTGTGTGGTTTGAGAGGAGTTGCGATGACAAAAGGTTGCAGTAGTATATTGGGCAAATAAGTTCAAAGGGCGTAACTCCTTGAAAAATAAAATGCTCCGCAGGGCGCAGCTTGATACGACCGCAGAGGTCGAACCCTGAACAGTTGGGGCAGGTATGGACACAACATTCAAGCTTGATACAGCTTTGCATTTGGATTGTGATTAAATATTTGACACAGCATAGGTTTCTACACAGAATGAATGTGGTCTAAGAACTTAAAAATTTTAAATTGGACATTCACCTATTATGGTCCAATATCCAAAATCTAAATACATGGTTAGATTCAGCATATCAAAGAACCCCAAGAATTCAATTTTTGTTGAAATCAAACAAAGTTTAATTTTGGACCTTTTTGACCTCAATGTGGACAAAGTTGATAACGGGGCCCAAAAATCAAAAATCTAAATACATGGTTAGATTCAGCATATCAAAGAACCCCATATATTCAATTTTTGTTGAAATCAAACAAAGTTTAATTTTGGACCCCAATTTGGACCAACTTGAAAACTGGGCCCATAATCAAAAATCTAAATACATGTTTAGATTCAGCATATCAAAGAACCCCAAGAATTCAATTTTTGTTAAAATCAAACTAAGTTTAATTTTGGACCCTTTGGACCTTAATGTAGACCAATTTGAAAACGGAACCAAAAATTAAGAATCTAAATACACGGTTTGATTCGGCATATCAAAGAACCCCAATAATTCAATTTTTGATGAAATCAAACAAAGTTTAATTTTGGACCTTTGGACCTCAATGTGGACCAATTTAAAAACGGGGCCCAAAATCCAAAAACTTAATGCACGGTACGATTCAGCATATTAAAAAACCCCAAGAATTCAAGAATAAAACCCCATTGAAATTGGTCAAGAAATAAGCAATTTATATGAAGTATCTTCTTTTTCACAATACTGTGCAATTAAATATTTCTTGCTATTGCGCAATACTGTACAATTGACAATTTCTTGCTATTGCGCAATATTGTGCTATTGGATATTTCTTGCTATTGCGCAATACTGTGCAATTGAAGATTTCTTGCTATTGCGCAATACTGTGCAATTGAAGATTTCTTGCTATTGTGCAATACTGTGCAATTGAAAATTTCTTGCTATTGCACAATACTTATTATATAATAATTTACACATCCTGTTTGGTGTGTATCTCCTACCATATCATTATTATTTGCTTTTAAATATAAATCAGAAATAACCAACTTAAAATGGAAAATTTTAAAAGAAAAAAAAAAGGAAAAAAAGAAAAAAAAGGAAAAAAAAAAAAATCCCCCCCCAAATTTTTTGAACCCCCTTATGATTCATCACCCCCAAACTCAAACCCAGCTTTCCCTTTGTGATATGGAACCTTGTAGTACAATTTCAGAAAGATCCATACACTTACACACAAGTTATTGTCCTGAAACTAGAAAAATGCTTGTTTTTTGCCCCTTTTTGGCCCCTAATTCCTAAAATATTGAGGCAATTACCCCCATCATCAATCCCAGCCTTCCCTTTGTGGTATGGTACCTTGCAGTACAATTTCAGAGAGATCCATACACTTGAACACAAGTTATTGTCTGGAAACTAGAAAAATGCTTATTTTTGGCCCCTTTTTGGCCCCCAATTCCTAAACGTTTCGACAATTACTCCCAAACTCAATTCCAGCTTTCCCTTTGTGATATGGAACCTTGTAGTACAATTTCAGAAAGATCCATACACTTACACACAAGTTATTGTCATGAAACTAGAAAAATGCTTGTTTTTTGCCCCTTTTTTGGCCCCTAATTCCTAAAATTTTAAGGCAATTACCCCCAAAATCAATTCCAGCATTCCCTTTGTGATTTGGAACCTTGTGGTACAATGTCACAGAGATCCATAAACTAACACACAAGTTATGTCTGGAAGTTACAAAAATGCTTATTTTTGGCCCCTTTTTGGCCCCTAATTCCTTTACTGTTGGTACCATAACCCCCAAAATCAATCCCAACCTTCCTTTTGTGGTATTGAACCTTGTGGTAAAATTTCATAGAGATCCATTCACTTAAACTAAAGTTAGAGTGCGAAAACCAATGTGTCTTCGGACGACGCTGGACGACGCCGGACGACGACGACGACGACGCCAACGTCATACCAATATACGACCACAAAAATTTTTTTGCGGTCGTATAAAAATTGATTCGTAATTTCCTGTCGATATGCACATCTACGTAGTATGTCCTTATTATCTGAAAAGGTTTCATGAAATTCTGTTGTGTGGTTTGAGAGGAGTTGCGATGACAAACTGTTGCAGTAGTGCATTAAAGTAAATAAGTTCAAAGGGGCGTAACTCCTAGAAAAAAAATTGAATCGTAATTTCGTTGCATGGGGTATAAATATGCATGATGCATGGATAAAATGTAAAGAATGTTCAAAACAATCCACTTTGTTTTTGTTCTCTCATAAGAAGTGATGAGGTCTAGAAAAAAAGAATTATTAGCATGGTTTTTATTGCATGAATGCAATCTCTTCCCCCAAAAATGTCGTACAAACTGATTGGTAAAAAATTCACAAATTCTGAGAAATCCCTTTTTATTCTAGGGTTTAAACAAAAAATTAATATCACAAATTTTGAGAAACATTCTTCAGTAGTAGGATTTAAACATAATTGTTTAATAGGGTATAATATGCATTCAAAAATTGATTCCCATTGTCAAAATTGTGGTAAAAATAAGTTTTTGATGAACAAAATTCGTAAAGGTTTCGACCGAACCCTGTGTCTCGGCTACAATTGCTGCTGTCAGTGTAAAAGTGTAATGTTGACTTAAAAAGTTAGTCCATTTATCAGTAAAATACAGAATTTAAAAAAAAAATCAAACTTTTTCTTTTGATGCTATACCTTGGTCTTGAAGATTAGCTTCTGTCCAAGTTTCATAACAATCCATGAAGGCTGACAAACTTATCATAACAAAAAAATTTAATCCCAGACTGTCTGTAAATGTTAACTGTAAAAAACTAATTAGTCCATCTATCAGAAAAATACTGAAAATGAAAGTATATTTTCAAAACTTTGCATCAGACATTATCTCTTAATCATATAAATGGGGAATGTGTCCATGGGACACAGATGATGCCCCCGCTTGCATATCATATAAAGTTATAAAGGGACATAACTAAAGAACGGTAAAAGGGACACCACCAAAATTCAAACTTGATCTGTATTTTGTGGTATTAAGCATTGTGTATAAGTTTCATAACATTTGGTTGAGGCTAACTTAAGTTAGAGAACGGAAACGAAAATTTCAGCAATTTTTCCATTTGTAAAGGGGCATAACTCTAGAACGGTTAAAGTGAGGCCACCAAAATTCAAATTTGATCTGTATTTTGTGGTAATAAGCATTGTGTATAAGTTTCATAACATTTGGTTGAGGCAAACTAAAGTTAGAGAACGGAAACCAACTTTGGGACGTATGTACGTACGTACAGACGGACAAGGGTAAAACTGAATGCCCCATTTGCTACGGCGGGGGCATAAAAAAAGCTTCTGCCAAAATTTCATAAAGGTTTGACAAAGTATTTGATGTGTAACTTTAACCCAAGACTGTATCTACTTGTTAACTGTAAAATAAACCAAGTTCATTTATCATTATAATATGGAAATGAAAATAAATATTTTCAAAATTTTGCTCTGGATACTGTATTTTGGTTATTAGCAAGCTTCTGTCCAAATTTCATAAAATTCCATGAAGGTTTGACAAAGATATTGATAACTGAAAAACTTTAACCTCAGACAGAATCTGAATGTTAACTGTAAAAAAAGACTAAGTCCATTTCTCAGTAAAATATGGAAAAAATGAAAATAAATATTTTCAAAATTTTGCCCTGGTTACTGTATTTTGGTCATAAACTAGCTTCTGTCCAAATTTCCTAAAATTCCATGAAAGTTTGACAAAGTTATTTATGTCTAAAAAAAACTTTAAGCACAGACTGAACCTAAATGTTGACGACGCCAACGCCAACGACGGAATCCATGATCGCTATGTCTCGCTTTTGGGAAATAAATTTTGCAGGCTCGACAAAAATGGAGAATGTGTCCATGGGACACAGATGATGCCCCAGCATTTCTTTTGGTTAATAATATATAATTTCAATTAGGTCTATTTTCATTCATCCTAAGGTGACCTTTTATACATGTTTGACTGTTATCATAAAGTTTACCCAGCTGAACATCTGTATTTGCTCTAAGGCGATGAACCATGCTGACAATATAACTTTTGTACTGATGACTTGTAAGAGAATCAGCCATTGTAGATACCTCATCCTCTGACCCTTCATTATGATGTCTTCTAGTACCTATAATATAAACAAAAAAAGTTAGTACATCAGTAATTCTTACTGCACATCTTAGGTAAATCTTTATTTATGTAAAATAATGGTCAATCAATAACATATCTAAGAGCATCAAAAGCACTATGGCCTACACAGATTGTTATTTAGGTAAGCTTTGCCTGACGCACTGCAAATTCAGTTTAGGCCAGGTAAAATTAATTGATAGGTTTTCATCCCCGCCTGCCCCAATTTTTTTATTTTAATTAATTTCCCTAGCAGTTACTGCACCAATTATTTAATTTCATACAAAACTTCCTGTAGCAATTTAATACAGAATAATTAAGTCTACGTATTCTGCTGCTATATGATGGCTACATTAACTCGTGAGCAGGAGAGATTGATTATGGGAAGGGACTTAATTAATAGGGTTATGAGTACTTAGGAGTGTCAAAGAACACTAATTACATTATGTCACAAATTTCAATAATTAAAAAAAACATGAAACTGTATATTTATACAATGTGTTAGGAAATGGCACTACCACAGAAAGCAAAAGAAATTTTATTCAAGTCGTCTAAAAGAGAGTTTTTTTTTCAAATTTACTGGAAATTTGAACAGTTGATGCCAATCATAAATATTATTTTTGAATTTGGGAAAATTTGAAAAAGTATGTAAAATTCTTTATGTATAATAACATAGAGGTACCAATTTTACTTCACCAGAAATACCCAAACATATAAAAAACACATTACGAAAAATTAAAATAAACTAGAGGCTCTTAAGAGCCTGTGTCGCTCACCTAGGTCTATGTGAATCTTCCCTATCAATGGATGCTTTCAAACTTTTGAGTACTAGAATATTATTCAGGACTCAAATATCTTTTTTTTTTACTTGTATTGCTGAAATTTTTTATCTGTTTACAGTTCCTCTCTATCTTCTATAGTTTTTGCCAAAAACACAAAAAGGGTAAAAAAAAGGTCATTTAATAGCAATAACTCCTATAAGACTATTGCCAAATTCGTCTACATTATAAAAATATATGATTGCCAATGAGACAACTATTCACTAAAGTTCAAATGAAGTGGGTGAATGCTGATCTATTTGCAGATCTTGCCTTGCTGGTAATTTTTGCTTTTTTAAAGTTTCTATCTATCTATTATTAGTTTTATAGATAATAGGCAAAAAAAATAGTAAAAATTATCATTTAAATAAAAAAGACAATTACTTCAATAAGGAGTCGACTGATTTCGGCCATGCAAACTTATTTGCTGATCACGATTATGTCAATCTATTATAGTTTTCAAGACAATAGGCATAATGAAAAAAAATTGGTAAAATTTGTCATTTTCGGGCAATAACTCCTACAAGAAGTTGTCTAGTAATTTTGATGCAAATTCCCATCCTTCTGAACAGTCAGATTTTCTTCATCTAGTGGTTTACAAGATAATAGACAAAACTTGCATTTTACCCCCTATGTTCTATTTTTAGCCAAACTCGGCATGTTGGTTAGCAGGAGGAATCATCAGACACATTTTTTAATTAGATACCCAAATGATGATTGTGGCCAAGTTTGGTCTATTAGTTTCAGAGGAAATGATCTTTGTAAAAGTTAATGGACGATGTCAGAGACGGACAACAAGTACCAAGTGATGGCAAAATCTGACACTGGCCCTTTGGGTAAGCGAGCTAAAAAATGAAATGAAATCCTCCCACCTGCCCCATTCCTCCTTTTATTAGGTCAAAATTATTATAAATTTAATTTTTTCAACAATTCTAAACATCTAAGCTCTTTTCACATTTTGCAGAACTTGGATCACGAACAAAATTGAAGTTCAAGTACCCTTGATACATTATCATGATAGAAAACAACTTACTATTTTCCCTGACTAGACTGAACTCCATAGTATCCATACTTGCTAAAGTAGCATCTAAATCAATCGACACTCCAGGCTCTTCCTGTTTTTCTAAATTGTAATTTAAACCTGAAATGATAATAAACATTTTTTTTTATCTTACAGATTTATGAATCATGAATCTTAATTTTTCTTTATGATTCTTATATTGATATTTTGATGTCAAAACATTTGTGTTGTTTATACTCTCTGCCAAACTATTGTGTAGTTTCAGTCTTTAACCAACAGCATTGATTGTCTTGTGATAGTGTGCATTCCAAAAGTGTGGGAGGTTATGGATTGGAGACCATCCTGGTCAAACTAAAGATGTGAAAAAGATATTTGCTGCTTCTATGCTAATAAAACATGAATCATTTAGGGATTCAGAATCATGAGTCTGGGTATGGTGACATGTCATCATGCAGACTGTTACCTTGTGAACAAATATTTCAAAATTTTGGCTCAGCATGGAGGTCTAGTACAAAACATGATTCATATTCATATCACATTAACATGTTATTGTCCTGAATATGCAAGTAAAAGTTGCCATCCAACCATCAAACTTAACCTTTAAATTTAGTTAATTGTAATTTTGTTTAAAAATTTAAATTCCTGGTATCCTGGGACCTGTGAAATTCATTAAAGTGTATAACACAAATACATGCTCTGCTTACTGATAGTTTTAACGGTACTTTAAATATTTTTATTCTGTGATGTGTTGATTCAATACACTTGTTACATTCTGTTTGTCTAATGATTGATATAAGAAATTAGAGGGTAGAGATCTCAAAAAACTTGTATACTAAAATTGGCAATTTTTACCAGTATTCTTATCAATAGGTCATTTTTTTTAAATCTTTCATTTCTGCACACAAAGTGTTTATTGGATAATAATTTTATGCTGAATAAGACAATAAGACTATTTTACCGTAGTTCACAAACGTTCATTGTTATACTACTGTAAAATCATAAACATGTTATAACTGCAACATTTCATTTAATGGCCACTTCATGCATAGTGCTTGATTAACTGTGTTAGCAATAGCTGCATCAACATTTTTGACATTTTGTAGAAAAATATCTTGTTGATGCAGTTGCCTTAAGTTCAATGTCAAAATGTTCAAATGTCATATTTTGATAATTTGTTTTTGCAGTCTTTGTACATTTAGACTTGTGATAAGCTAAAGGATGACTACTCGTCGATTAATAATTCTTGTAGATTTTTCTTATTCCATGAACTTTATTTACAGTTTTCAATATACATGCTTTACAATTTTTATAAGACTGCAAAATTTTTATCGCGTCGTCGTCGGTGGCGTCCGAAGACATTTGATTTCCAAACAATAACTTTAGTATAAGTGAATATAAATCTATGAAATTTAAACACAAGGTTTGAAACCACAAAAGGAAGGTTGGGATTGATTTTGGGGGTTATGGTCCCAACGATTGAGGAATTAGGGGTCAAAAAGGGGCCCAAATAAGCATTTTTCTAGTTTCCAGACAATAACTTGTGGAACAGTATATGGATCTCTCTGAAATCCTACCAAAAGTTTCCATACCACAAAGGGATGGTTAGGATTGGCTTTGGGGGGTTATGGCTCAAATCGTTTAGGAATTAGGGGCAAAAAAGGGGGGAAACAAGGGTTTCCTGGTTAATGGACAATTACTTAAGTATTGGTCTTTGGATCTTTATGAAATAGATATTTTACCATCAAGCATTTTATAAGGGATAGCATTCGTTTCATGATATTTTACAGTATATAGAAGAGAACTTTTATATTTATTATCTTTATTGATTTTGAGAAAGCTTTGAATCTTTATGTTGGGACTTTTTGCTATTTTTCTGCTAGTTCTAGTATGAATTATTTTTTTAGCTGTTTCTAGAAACATCAAATACTGTCATGGAAGTATATATAATATTATAATAGTGTATATCAAAGGGTTCAGTAATAATAAATTTTTATACTCAGAATTGGTTATCCTTTTTTTGGTTTTTTTTTGCATTAGGGTTACCTCCCTTACAATGGTTTTGTTATAAAGAAATGTTGTATTGTCTTGAGGTGATTAGCTGTCAATTTATTTTTAGCAGTTACTATTAAATGCTGATGAATGTTTTTTTAATTTTAGCCATGATTATGTATGTCATTTTCTATTATAATACTTTTATGATGTATTTAAACGGGTTTTTATGGTTGCAAAGTCCATTGGAAATTTGAATTGAGATTATGACCATATCTTTAGGGAAAGTGAAGGTAAGTGAATTTTTTAATATTCAAAATTTTTTTTTTTGGAAAGGGGGGGGGGGGGGGGCAATTTTTTCCCTCAAGATTTAAGAAATGGTCAATTTTCCAAAGAAAAAATTGGGGGTCACAATTTGTTTTGATAATTCTTTGTATACTGTCTGAAAACAGATTTACTAAGTATTGCGCAACAGCACAGTGTATTGCACAACAGCAAGAAATCTTCAATTGAATATAAATTCAAATCATACAACCAATTTCAAGTTCTTTGACAACATTTATTCTGTGTCAGAAACCTATAATGTGTCAAATATTTAATAACAATCCAAATTCAGACCTGTATCAAGCTTGAATATTCAATGTGTCCATTTTTGGCCCAACTGTTCAGGGTTGGACCTCTGCGGTCGTATCCAGCTGCCCTCGGCAAAGCAGTTTATTATCATCAGTGTTTACAAACATATTTTTTACCTGGTCTTGGCCTGATCTTTCTTCTCTTTAAAATTCTCTGTAGGATATCTCGCATTGGGATATTCATACTTTCCATCTGAAATTTGTTAAATCCCCTGTTTGGTACAAATCTGGAATAGAATTTACAAATATCTCTATATTGGTGATTTTTCCTTATAATCTAATCATGCTAATCATATATATAGTATAAGGTATACCAACTAATTTTCTTGACGCTCACGAGTAGAAAAAATATTGTGATATAAATCGATGTAAAAATATCAAACGTTTTTTATCCTTCCTTGTATAAATACACCAAGAAAGTTAGAAAATCATGAAAATAAATCACTGCAAAGTCTGCTTAGAAAGGATAAATGCAAAAAAAAAGTATCCACAAAAATCAGTTTGCTTATAGTAGATGTTCCTCCGTCAGCATGGTCATCAGATTACATTCTAGATAAGACAACAAATAGCTGATTCAAATAAATTAAGTTTGCTGTTTTAGACAGTGTTCTAAAATGTGAAATTATTTCATTGATGAAATTCTCAAGTTTTTGAGCACAATCTTCAACTAGAGGCTCTCAAGAGCCTGTGTCGCTCACCTGTATATACTGTGGTTTTGGAGATCATGTGAAATAAGGTTAAAATCATATAGATACACTAATAATGATTGAGGCCAAGTTTGGTTTAATTTGGCCCCAGTAACATTAAAAGCAGAAGATTTTTGAAAAGATTTACAAAAATTACCAATAAATTTCAGAAAATAACTTTAAAGGACAATAACTCCAATAAGATGTCAATTACCAATTGGTCGTGTTAACTTATTTGTAGATCTTTCTTTGCCTGATATTTTTGCTGTTCACAGTTTATCTCTATCTATTATATTCAAGATAATAACCAAAAACTGCAAAATTTCCTTAAAATTACTAATTCAGTGGCAGCAACCCAACAACAGGTTGTCTGATTTTAAAATTTTCAGGGCAGATAGATCTTGATCTGATGAACATTTTTACCCATGTCAGATTTGCTCTAAATACTTGAGTTTCAGAGATATAAGCCAAAAACTGCATGTTACCCCCATGTTCTATTTTTAGCCATGGCGGCCATCTTGGTTGGTGGGCAGGGTCATCGGATACATTTTTTAAACTAATTACCCTAAGGATGATTAAGGCCAAGTTTGGTTTAACTTGGCCAAGTAATTTCAGAGCAGAAGATTTTTGTAAAAGATTACAAAAATTTATGAAAAATGTGAAAATTTGACTTTAAAGGGCAATTACTCCTTAAGGGGTCCATTAACAATTTTGGTCATGTTTGACTTATTTGTAGATCTAACTTTGATGAACATTTTTGCTGTTTACAGTTTATCTCTATCTATTATAATATTCAAGATAATAGCCAAACACTACAAAATTTCCTTAAAATTACCAATTTAGGGACAGCAACCCAACAACAGGTTGTCTGATTCGTCTGAAAATTTCAGGGCAGATAGATCTTGACCTGATAAACATTTTTCCCATGTCAGATTTGCTCTAAATGCATTAGTTTCAGAGATATAAGCCAAATACTGCATTTTACTCCTATGTTCTATCTTTAGCCATGGCAGCCATCTTGATTGGTGGGTGGGGGTCATTGGATACATTTTTTAAACTAGATACCCTAAGGATGATTTAGGCCAAGTTCGGTTTAATTTGGCCCAGTGGTTTCAGAGGAGAAGATTTTTGTAAAAGTTAACGACGACGGAAGACGAACGACGGACGACAAGTGATGAGAAAAGCTGACTTCACCCTTTGGGTCAGGTGAGCTAAAAATGTGTTTATTGTCCACAATGATTAAGATTTTAACTAGGAGCACCATAATTGAAGCGTATTAATTCTAAATTGCATTGTGTTTAGTGCTTACTAATATTATGATATTTCTACAATGGTGTTGTTTAAGCACACTCAAGTTATTGAATGGATGCCCTAACTTTATAGATTTTCCATTTGTTTGGGGGTTAACTCTTGAACAATAATCTTGAAATGCATCAGATCAGAATTACACGTAAATTTAGTGGTTCATAGCAACCTATATGTACAGGCATATCCAAGTATGAGCAAACACATAAAATTTGGCTATTCTGCACAATTGTAGGGGCATTTACCTTGAATGACATTTGTTAAATAAGATATATCACTAAGACCTTTGATTAGAACTTTTTAATATTGGGATAAAATTTTAGATGGTTTTGTTCAAGCATGCTCAAATTATTGAGCAGATTCCTGAAATTTTAGATTTGCCACATGATAATGTGTCATAATAATGTGTCAATCTCTATAATACCTATATGTTTAGATGATTTTATCATTTTGTTAAAGTCTGAAGTTTAGACATGTATTCAAGTTAATTAAACTCTAGCTATTTCCCACATCAAGAAGGGGCATAACTCTGAAATGACACACATTGAACTTGATCAAAGTTTTAAAATAATTTAGTTGACACAGACTGAACTTTGAAACAGCAATCTAACATTATCTATTTTCCACAGTGTTAAGATTTATCTAAGATTGTGTTAGGTGATGGCTTCTGTTACATTCAAATTCAAAATAATTGTTTATAGTCCACATTTACAATGGACATTGCAGGGACATGACATATGTGAAGGATGTCAAATTCAACGTCAATCTCTGTTTAGTTGTCACTAAAAAAGCTTTTAAGATAACACTATAAACAATTTTTTAGCATAGAAAAAAAAGATTTCAAGTTTGCTAAACTTACATTGTGACCACAAAGGAAGATTTTGGTGATTTTGCAGTTGGTAAATCTTTTTCAACAAGAGCTAGTTTAGAGAATCCAAATTTAGAGACTGGTTCTTTTGGATCAAGACTGGGAAAGTCCATGTCAACTTCACCATCATCCTCTGCTATATGCAGACAGTATCTTTCTATATTGTCACTATAAATATAATTTAAATATTTAATTACAGGTTTGTTTCTCAGTTATTGCATATCTTAAAAATAATTGTAAAATATTATTTTCTTCAAAATCCATCAATGCTTTTTCATCTCAGTATGATAAATTCGTTTTCTTCATCTCCATTTTCGAAATAGTCATAAATTTAATTCAAGAATAGAGCTTTGTATTTATATACTGCTATCATTTTATTAATAGGTTTGTTTATTGTGTATGCTGGTCAGAAAAAAGTCCTGCTATCGAGTAAATTACCATTGTCAGTTTCAGGATAATTCATCTTTTTGTACATTCATTCTTTGTTTTTGTGTATGTTAAGTACAATAATAAATTAATGCACCTACAGCTGTGATTCATTGATGTTGATTCATCAGTATTGTAAACATAAATAAGATAGAAATAAAAATTTAGTTAGTTGCAGCAATACGCTTGATTGTAATTATTATCTTTCCATCAAGGTATTTGGTTTTAGACGACAATACTGGGGTATATTACTTCATTTGTGAGTTTCTTGGGCATAAAATCTATGTCAATGCTCAATCTTCACAATAGACTTTTGAGTCTACAGGCACTGAGCTCAAGTTTTGGAAAAATTTTGTTAAATTATATTAAAGATAATTTTTACATGCCCTAAAGGAATTTTAAAAGTCTGGGCTGCTGGGCCAGTGGTTGAGCATGAAGAGTGCTAAGTACTTTAAGCAAAGGGATATGTATTGTAACTTAGACAATTTACATCCAGGCTTAGATATTGTGATAAATGATATAATAATTATATTTCTGTAGATAGGGTGGAAGAATGAACACAATAGTACAGACAGATGCTTGAAAAATATCAAGTGGGAACAATGACCTTATCAGTTTAAAGATATAGGGAGCCAGTTTGTCCACAAACATTTAAATGACATCAGAAATCAGCAAACAGTAGAAGAGTTTTTCTGATAATGGAAATGATGTGAATCAGACATATTGTTGAATGAATGTTGGTACATGTTTCTTGTGTATGGCAAAGTTCTATGTCATTTTCAACTCTATGTTCTCTATTGCATGTTTTGGGTCTGTAGACAATCAAAGTCATATCATTTCAATTGTTCTAAACATATCATTAGGATGTTACATATGTGTTCCTTGACCTGGATAGAACTTAGTCCTTACTGAAGCATGGGTTCTCTCCCTTCATTAGTATACTGCCAGCACACCAGTCCAATCAACTCCTGGATTTTTGCTGTTGCTATGACAACAACTGATATTGGATAACTTCTGTCTGCAGGCAACGCCATTGTTAAGAATATATCCATCTTTTTTGTAGCCCCAACACTTGCCTGAAAAAAAGTGTAGACCAAAACTAACTGAAATATAGTGTATATACTGAAATATACTTTAATTACAGGCTATGTCCCATAAATCTAAAAAAAAGGTATTAAATACAATGAATCTTAAAACAGATTCTATTTTTACATATAAAGGACAACTCCTTCAATAACTAGTGCTTATACAATGAAGAATGTTTTTTTTGGATGTTTTCCATATACATATATATAAATATAGAATTATCACTGAAAGAAATGAACTAAAGCATAGTTTAATGGACTTGGATTACTATGAGGTATTCAAGAACCCAACTCATAGCACAATTATAGGTATGATTTTCTGATGACACACTACAACTTTATTGTTACTTTTTATTGTGTTAAAAGAGCCAACTATATACCGATAACAAATGAAGATGTTGATATATTAACTAAACACTGGCTGTATATGAAAGGTTAATACTTCATGCAAAAAAGTGAAAACTGTATTTGCTGTCCTTTAGTAATTTACTAGATTAGGGCTTTGTTTTTGTTTTCTTATTGTTTGTTTGTTTGCATTTATTACTTGTAACCAATTTTTTGCCAATCAATTAAAAAAAAGAATTATTGACAGCTGTAACTACTACTTTTCACTGGTATTTCCAAAGGATACTTAAAGGAAAAAAACTCAACATTTTATTTACAGTTTTTGTAATCTAAATACCTTTCCATCAAATTTGGCATATTCCAGGAAAGGATTTGATCCCTGAATAGCAGCATTTTCTAACAACCATGATAAGGAAGACATTTTTGGTTTCTTTTTCTCTTCATTTTCTGAAGGTAATTGCTTCTTATCAAACAAATGGCCTTTCTCTTCCACTAAAAATGAAAAGATCAATGATATAAATTAATCAAAGGCAGCAATCAAGTGTGCATATGCAACATATTGACATAATCTCTGTACAAAATTATCTTACTAACACAATAGGTACATCAAAAAGTCTGTAAATTAATATCAAGTTTAGTTGTTTACCAACATGACCAAAGACACATTGCTTTGTCCTGTTCACAAATAAAACCTACCAAACAAAGGACCTTTAAATACCACAAGTTGATCCATGAAAATGAGGTCAAGGTCAGATGAACCCTGTCCTTCGTGAACAGCCAGATGGCCATGTACACCATACAATAATTCCATACACCAAAAGCAGTTGACCTACTGCTAACAGTTTTTGCGAAACAGACCTAATCACTAAAACTTAACATTGACCAATGAACCATGAAAATGAAGTCAAATTCAGATGAACTCTGCAAATCAGACATGTACACCGAACAATTGTTTCATATAGCAAATATACATGCAGTGGACCTTTTACTTATAACTTATCTGAGAAACAGACCTAACCAACAAAATTTAACATTGACCAATAAATCATGAAATGAGGTCAACGTCAGATGAACCCTGCCAGACAAACAATTCACCTTGCAATCATTCATTACCCCAAATAGAGTTTACCTATTTCTTATAGTATCTGATAAACACACCTAATCACATAACATTGCATAATGTAACACTTATCACTGCTCTATTTAGTATTAAGTCAGGCTTCAGTCAGGTGACCATGTCTAAGGGACATGTAGACCTTGCAATGATTCTAAATAAAACTATCTTTTTACTCATAATAAGGGAGAAATCACATGTTTTAATAAAAAGAAGTTTTTTAGACAGTGGCTTAACCACTTAAAACCAGGTCAAGAACAACAGAAATTTCATAACTAATCTCATCTATATACAGGATAAAAAGTATCAAGGTCTTCTTCCATCTGAAATATATATCTTTATACTAACAGTTTATGCCGACACCTGATTAGCATCCCTATGTATAAAAAATGTTTGTTTGCCAAAGCTGGACTGACAAAGTTTTACCATTGAAAGTAAGGTAAACGGAAAAATAGTCAAAATATATGATTGAGTAAAATTATTTAAAAGAAGTATGTTGGAATGCACACTATGTACATGTGTGAAATAATAAAAATGGAGTTTTATAATGCATAGAAAAAAGTCATGATATACTTTTATCAGACCAATTATTTTAAATCGTAGATTTTTAAATGTATATAAGAAAAGGTCACATTATCATAATTATAGCACAATTTTATCAACAAATTTTAAGATTTTTTTTATGAATTAAAGTAAAAATTACTATTTTTCTTCATGTGTTTTTTATAAATGATATAAATAAATAATTATTAAATAATAAAAGTGTGATGAATATAGAAAAATTTGTAAGGGTTCCACGGAACCCAGTGTCTCGCCTACTTTTGCTGTTGTCCATGTTTTCAGTGTGATAGGGGAGTGCACAAAATAGATTTACAGTTAATGAAATAAATAAATAAGAAGCTTCTGTCCAAGTTTGGTAAAAAACCAGGATGGTTTATGAATCTAATCAATGTTTTAAAAACTTTAACTGCAGACTGTATTTAATGTTAACTGAAAGAAAAACTAAGTCCATTTATAAGTAATATACGGAAAAACAGGAAATAAATTTTCACAAAATTTCCTTCTAGATACTAGCTTTTGATCATAAACAAGCTTCTGTCCAAGTTTGGTACAAATCCAGGATAGTTTAAGAAAGTTATTAAAATTTTTAAAACTTTAACAACAGAGTGAATGTAATGTTAACTGGCAGAAAAACTTAGTTCATTTATAAGTAAAATACGGATAAACAGGATTTTTTATTTACAAAATTTACTTCTGGATACTATCTTATGATCATAAACAAGCTTCTGTCCAAGTTTGGTACAAATCCAGGATAGTTAAGAAAGTTATTAAAATTTTTAAAACTTTAATCACAGAGTGAATGTAATGTTAACTGGCAGAAAAACTAAGTCCATTTATAAGTAAAATACAGATAAACAGGATTTTTTTTTTACAAAATTAACTTCTCGATACTATCTTATGATCATAAACAAGCTTCTGTCCAAGTTTGGTACAAATCCAGGATAGTTTTAGAAAGTTATTAAAATTTCAAAAACTTTAACCACAGAGTGAATATTTGTGGACGCCGTCGACGTCGACGGAATGTAGGATCGCTATGTCTCGCTTTTGTGACAAAAGTCGCAGGCTCGACAAAAAGGTCACATTATAGCACAATTTTATCAACAGATTTCATGATTTTTTTAATGAATTAAAGGGGCATTAGCTGTCAAATTCATGTTCACCAATTTGACTCAAATTCTCATATTCGACTTAACATACTAAAACATACATCCAATTAACAAAAAGTTTAAAATAAACAATTTACGATGTAATAATTCAATAATGTGTATCAGCATTTCTTGTGTAATTTAGTCTAGACACCATCTAATTAACCATCCAGGTGACCTCCGAAGACTGCCGATGGTCATATAACCTGATGTAAACATAAAGAATCAGTCAACCAAATGGTTTACACTTGTTTCACTTCCAATGTTGACATTCTTTTCCTTTTTATAATTTCATTATTTCACTTTCAATAGTGATTGAACAAAAAAAATTATATTCTAAATTTTGGTATATCTCATAGCTAATGCCCCTTTAAAGTAAAAATTACTGTTTTTCCACATTCATTATTTTATAAATGAATAATTTAATTTTGGATGTAACACGTCTTCTGATTGGCTGACGTTGTTTTGTTTATCAGCTCATAGACATAATTTTGTCATGTGACCGTGACATCATCAACGTTTTTTCATGGTTTACTTCGGTTTAAAATGGAATTTAGAATTAAATTATAAGAAATGACTGTAATATTTTTTCTGTCTATTCGAAATAACATAAAAAATGTGGTGCACACTTTAAAATAACCCGCTACGCGGGTTATTCAGTGTGCAGCACATTTTTGATGTTATTTCGAATAGACAGAAAAAATGTTACAGTCATTCCTTAAATAAATAAATAAATATTAACTAATAAAAGTGTGATAAAATATGTTCTTTTTCAAAAAAGATATGAAAAAAAAATAATTACAACAAAACATGTATCAGTACACAAGCTTGTACAAGTTTCTTTATCTAAATTTCCAAAGCTAAAGAGCATAAAACTTGTAGAAAAATATCCTGAGCATTACAAACATAGTCTTCTTCAATGAGAAATATTGACAAAACTTGCATGGAAGGTAGTTCAATATAGATTGTGACTTTTTTTCCTATATACATGTGCAGACCATATGACAATTTTCATATAAAATATATATTATGACTTTTGAGTAGAAAGAAAATCAGTTTCATTATTATTAAAAAAATATTCCTTCATGAAAATGATAAAAGTGTAAGTGACCCTTTAATTGGACTGCACCCCTCTATTGGTAACTAAAAAAAGATGTTCTCTACTAAATTCTGTATTATTATTCTCAATATACCATTGTATTCACTAGATGAATCTCTCCATGGAACATTTTTTATTTTTCGCTGACTTCTTCTTTCTTTCTTCATTCTCTCTAACTTCTGTGCAGTATTTGATCTTCTCCTATGACCTACAAAATGTATGTTTGTCTTTTAAATACAACTAAAAACAATATCTACACGAAAAACACTACTTAAAAATGCTGTATTCTGATCCTTATTTTCACATTCTTTATCCTTATCTGCATTTAGATCTTAAACAAATCACAAAATACATATATTACAAATTAATAAAAGATGATGGATGTATGTCAAAGACACAGCAACACGAAAAACAAACCACACAAATAAACCAGGAGAGACATTCAGCAAAGTGATATACAGATGATTTTCAACAATAGAATATAATAGTATATATATGTTAAAAAATAAAATATGTGCAGACTATATCTGTTAAATTTAAAATGTAAATCCAAGGCTTACCACATCCCATGTCAGGAAAATATCATAAAAATTTGACAGGTTTGTGTCAGAGTCCATTCCACTGTCAATAATACTTACCATATCAAGGATACCATAGGAACTTGACAGGTTTGTGTCAGAGTCCATACCATTGTCACTAATACTTACATTATCCCATGTAAGGAAGGATATCATAGGAATTTGACAGGTTTGTGTCAGAGTCCATTCCACTGTCAATAATACTTACCATATCCCATGTAAGGAAGGATATCATAGGAATTTGACAGGTTTGTGTCAGAGTCCATTCCACTGTCAATAATGCTTACCATATCAAGGATACCATAGGAACTTGACAGGTCTGTGTCAGAGTCCATACCATTGTCACTAATACTTACCATATCCCATGTCAGGAAGGATACCATAGGAATTTGACAGGTTTGTGTCAGAGTCCATTCCACTGTCACTAATACTTACCATATCCCATGTCAAGAAGGATATCATAGGAACTTGACAGGTTTGTGTCAGAGTCCATTCCACTGTCACTTATACTTATCATATCCCATGTCAGGAAGGATATCATAGGAACTTGATAGGTTTGTGTCAGAGTCCATTCCACTGTCACTTATACTTATCATATCCCATGTCAGGAAGGATATCATAGGAATTTGACAGGTTTGTGTCAGAGTCAATTCCACTGTCACTAATACTTACCATATCCCATGTCAAGAAGAATATCATAGGAACTTGACAGGTTTGTGTCAGAGTCCATACCACTGTCACTAATACTTACCATATCCCATGTCAAGAAGAATATCATAGGAATTTGACAAGTTTGTGTCAGAGTCCATTCCACTGTCAATAATACTTACCATATCCCATGTAAGGAAGGATATCATAGGAATTTGACAGGTTTGTGTCAGAGTCCATTCCACTGTCACTTATACTTACCATATACCATGTCAAGAAGGATATCATAGGAACTTGATAGGTTTGTGTTAGAGTCCATTCCACTGTCACTAATACTTACCATATCCCATGCCAGGAAGTATATCATAGGAACTTGATAGGTTTGTGTCAGAGTCCATTCCACTGTCAATAAAACTTACCATATCCCATGTCAGGAAGGATATCATAGGAATTTGACAGGTTTGTGTCAGAGTCCATTTCACTGTCAATAATACTTACCATATCCCATGTCAAGAAGGATATCATAGGAACTTGACAGGTTTGTGTCAGAGTCCATACCACTGTCACTAATACTTACCCTTTCCCATGTCAAGAAGGATGTCATAGGAATTTGACAGGTTTGTGTCAGAGTCCATACCACTGTCACTAATACTTACCCTATCCCATGTCAAGAAGGATATCATAGGAATATAGGTTTGTGTCAGAGTCCATTGCACTGTCAATAATACTTATCATATCCCATGTCAGGAAGGATATCATAGGAACTTGACAGGTTTGTGTCAGAGTCTATTCAACTGCCACTAATACTTGACAGGTTTGTGTCAGAGTCCATTCCACTGTCACTAATACTTACCATATCCCATGTCAGGAAGGATATCATAGGAACTTGATAGGTTTGTGTCAGAGTCCATTCCACTGTCACTAATACTTACCATATCCCATGTCAGGAAGGATATCATAGGATCTTGTCAGGTTGGTGTCAGAGTCCATTCCACTGTCAATAATACTTACCATATCCCATGTCAAGAAGGATATCATAGGAACTTCATAGGTTTGTGTCAGAGTCCATTCCACTGTCTCTCATACTTATCATATCCCATGTCAGGAAGGATATCATAGGAACTTGATAGGTTTGTGTCAGAGTCCATTCCACTGTCAATAATACTTACCATATCCCATGTCAGGAAGGGTATCATAGAACTTGACAGGTTTGTGTCAGAGTCCATTCCACTGTCAATAATACTTACCATATCCCATGTCAGGAAGGATATCATAGGAACTTGATAGGTTTGTGTCAGAGTCAATTCCACTGTCACTAATACTTACCATATCCCATGTCAAGAAGAATATCATAGGAACTTGACAGGTTTGTGTCAGAGTCCATACCACTGTCACTAATACTTACCATATCCCATGTAAGGAAGGATACCATAGGAATTTGACAAGTTTGTGTCAGAGTCCATTCCACTGTCAATAATACTTACCATATCCCATGTAAGGAAGGATATCATAGGAATTTGACAGGTTTGTGTCAGAGTCCATTCCACTGTCACTTATACTTACCATATACCATGTCAAGAAGGATATCATAGGAACTTGATAGGTTTGTGTTAGAGTCCATTCCACTGTCACTAATACTTACCATATCCCATGCCAGGAAGGATATCATAGGAACTTGATAGGTTTGTGTCAGAGTCCATTCCACTGTCAATAAAACTTACCATATCCCATGTAAGGAAGGATATCATAGGAATTTGACAGGTTTGTGTCAGAGTCCATTTCACTGTCAATAATACTTACCATATCCCATGTCAAGAAGGATATCATAGGAACTTGACAGGTTTGTGTCAGAGTCCATACCACTGTCACTAATACTTACCCTTTCCCATGTCAAGAAGGATGTCATAGGAATTTGACAGGTTTGTGTCAGAGTCCATACCACTGTCACTAATACTTACCCTATCCCATGTCAAGAAGGATATCATAGGAATATAGGTTTGTGTCAGAGTCCATTGCACTGTCAATAATACTTATCATATCCCATGTCAGGAAGGATATCATAGGAACTTGACAGGTTTGTGTCAGAGTCTATTCAACTGCCACTAATACTTGACAGGTTTGTGTCAGAGTCCATTCCACTGTCACTAATACTTACCATATCCCATGTCAGGAAGGATATCATAGGAACTTGATAGGTTTGTGTCAGAGTCCATTCCACTGTCACTAATACTTACCATATCCCATGTCAGGAAGGATATCATAGGATCTTGTCAGGTTGGTGTCAGAGTCCATTCCACTGTCAATAATACTTACCATATCCCATGTCAAGAAGGATATCATAGGAACTTCATAGGTTTGTGTCAGAGTCCATTCCACTGTCTCTCATACTTATCATATCCCATGTCAGGAAGGATATCATAGGAACTTGATAGGTTTGTGTCAGAGTCCATTCCACTGTCAATAATACTTACCATATCCCATGTCAGGAAGGGTATCATAGAACTTGACAGGTTTGTGTCAGAGTCCATTCCACTGTCAATAATACTTACCATATCCCATGTCAGGAAGGATATCATAGGAACTTGATAGGTTTGTGTCAGAGTCAATTCCACTGTCACTAATACTTACCATATCCCATGTCAAGAAGAATATCATAGGAACTTGACAGGTTTGTGTCAGAGTCCATACCACTGTCACTAATACTTACCATATCCCATGTAAGGAAGGATACCATAGGAATTTGACAAGTTTGTGTCAGAGTCCATTCCACTGTCAATAATACTTACCATATCCCATGTAAGGAAGGATATCATAGGAATTTGACAGGTTTGTGTCAGAGTCCATTCCACTGTCACTTATACTTACCATATACCATGTCAAGAAGGATATCATAGGAACTTGATAGGTTTGTGTTAGAGTCCATTCCACTGTCACTAATACTTACCATATCCCATGCCAGGAAGGATATCATAGGAACTTGATAGGTTTGTGTCAGAGTCCATTCCACTGTCAATAAAACTTACCATATCCCATGTAAGGAAGGATATCATAGGAACTTGATAGGTTTGTGTCAGAGTCCATTCCACTGTCAATAATACTTACCATATCCCATGTCAGGAAGGGTATCATAGAACTTGACAGGTTTGTGTCAGAGTCCATTCCACTGTCACTTATACTTACCATATACCATGTCAAGAAGGATATCATAGGAACTTGATAGGTTTGTGTTAGAGTCCATTCCACTGTCACTAATACTTACCATATCCCATGCCAGGAAGTATATCATAGGAACTTGATAGGTTTGTGTCAGAGTCCATTCCACTGTCAATAAAACTTACCATATCCCATGTCAGGAAGGATATCATAGGAATTTGACAGGTTTGTGTCAGAGTCCATTTCACTGTCAATAATACTTACCATATCCCATGTCAAGAAGGATATCATAGGAACTTGACAGGTTTGTGTCAGAGTCCATACCACTGTCACTAATACTTACCCTTTCCCATGTCAAGAAGGATGTCATAGGAATTTGACAGGTTTGTGTCAGAGTCCATACCACTGTCACTAATACTTACCCTATCCCATGTCAAGAAGGATATCATAGGAATATAGGTTTGTGTCAGAGTCCATTGCACTGTCAATAATACTTATCATATCCCATGTCAGGAAGGATATCATAGGATCTTGACAGGTTTGTGTCAGAGTCTATTCAACTGCCACTAATACTTGACAGGTTTGTGTCAGAGTCCATTCCACTGTCACTAATACTTACCATATCCCATGTCAGGAAGGATATCATAGGAACTTGATAGGTTTGTGTCAGAGTCCATTCCACTGTCACTAATACTTACCATATCCCATGTCAGGAAGGATATCATAGGATCTTGTCAGGTTGGTGTCAGAGTCCATTCCACTGTCAATAATACTTACCATATCCCATGTCAAGAAGGATATCATAGGAACTTCATAGGTTTGTGTCAGA